ACCTTTCTGAACATGTGCAGCAAATGGACTGATCCAATATGGTGGACACTGAAGGAGGGGGGCTGAGACACGCTTAATATTATCAGCGTTCTGATGGCGTTTTATCAAAAACATAATTAATGTGCACAAATAAGGAATAGTTGTATTAACCATACATGGAAACAGAGTTTTATTGGCCCCCCAGCAACTTGGGGTCCTAGGCCCCTGCCTAGTATTGCCTAATGGTAAATCCGCCCCTGAGAAGGAGACTTAGAACAGCAAATATGATCACGGCTCTGTGTCTGTAAAACCTGCCTCAGCTGACCTTCAGAGCAGCTCGACCTTGGAGATATTTCATAAATCTGACTAAATGTGATTATGACTGAGAACAGATTCATTATTGTTGAAATGGAAGAAATGAGCAGGCTTAGATCTGAAGGTTTAACTCAGAGGAAGCATTAATGAGCCTGACAACTTAAAGTTGATTACATCCAGACCCGCTGCCCTCTTAGATTTCATATATATATCTGCTGCCGTGTTCAAACTGTCTCAGAGGCGTAAAATAAGACCATGGAGCATGAGAAGTGATAAAGCAGAAGAACGTTGCAAAAGAATGTTCTTACTACTTGTCAGGTTTTGCAGAACTTGAATAAAAACACCTTTTTTTGTCATATTCGGTGCAGCTGTCACAGCGGCCTGGAATTGAAAAACACACGGCAGAGAATCTGTGAAAAAACGAAACTAAACCTCTAATGCACGCTCCTGGAAAAAGCCCTGGAGAATGATCTAACCCCTGTGAGAAGGTACGGTTACTGTGGTAACGAGCCTTCACAAGTGGCCTCAAAGGTAGACCAATTTGTTAGAGTTATGCTTCAACCCTGTTGCTATCATGAGACATATGTTAAAAATAGAGTTTTTACTATAATGAGCATTCTGGGATGACATGGCACACATGAATGCAGCAACAGGAAAAAGTTTTTTAAAGCAGGACCAGCTTCCTGAGAACAACACAGAATAGATACTGCTGTTCATTTTTAGGGTAATTAGTTTTCGAACACTTTAAACATCTTTTTTATAGCTTCAGTTATTTCTGTTTGTATCTTAAAGAGATTCCGGAAACTTAAAAATGTCGTTTGTAAACCTCCTCTTTAAATGTCAGCCTGCTTTCTAAATGTTCGTTTTTGTTGGTTTAATTTTTTACAGTCATAGGGAAGTCGTATTTAAATGTCAAATCATTCTGGCTTAAACATGTATATAAATCCTGTCTTAAAATCGTTTTTTTTTTCCTTATCTTCTGCAGGCCAGTTAGTTCTACGTT